CTGCCTTCGGCTCAGGTCATGATCCTGGAGTCCCAGGATTGAGTCCCGCATCGGGCTCCCTGCTCGGCAGGGAGTCTGCTTCTCCCTCTGACCCTCCCCCCTCTCATGTGCTCTCTCTCTCTCTCTCTGTCTCTCATTCTCTCTCTCAAATAAATAAAATCTTAAAAAAAAAAAAAGGTGTTGGGAGAGGTGAGAGGAAGAACAGGGAGGCAACTCAGATCAGTTACAAGAGGATAAGGGGATAAGGCGGAAAATGGATCTTAGAGCGAAAAGGCCAATGACTGGCACAGGATCTCGCAGGGCCTACTCTGAGCTGGACCAGGGCAACAACTGCCCCATAATCCTCCAGAATGACTGCAGCACACATCCTTGTAACCTAGAATTCTTCCCCAAATGCTGGCTATTTCCTTCTCCTTAGCGTGCACTTACCTTGGCAAATGGCTGCAATTCTTTTGGGAATCCTAGGAGTAAAGGTCATAGTGGTGTTATAGGAAGGTTTTCCTCAGGAGCACCCAGCCTCCCGTCCATACACCCAGACCTGGAAACAGGCAGTATCTAGCATGGGTGATAACTGGACTGAGGCCTCCGGGACCACACATGAAGTGTTTATTTAGACAAATAACAAAGTAAGCTTTCAGTGGTCGACTACTGATCTCATTTGTAGGCTTGCTAGTAATCACGGTCAGCTATCTGTCAGACCGTCAGTGGTATGCTGGTGAAGTTGGACATGAAGCTTCCCAAGGGAAAGGAGTGTGTGTATACCATGTGAAATAAGTTTTTGTAATTCTACAGATGTGTAGCACACGTCTACGAATGATACCAAAATACAATACCCTTGGATTGTCAATTCCGTATAGCAATTGATTCTCTTAGAATGCCTTTGTTGACTTTTACCAGTGTATGCTTAAAACTGACAAATGGGTATAATTCTGACAACGTTGGTTGATATTTTCATTTACGTTAAAGAGTAAGATCAAAGCAAAACAAGATGAGGACACAGGACAGAACTTCGCTTGTTATGTCAATGACAGGACTGAGCTCTTTGCTAATAGCGTTTGAATACTGGAAGAATATTTCCTCTACTTTTTGTGCAGTTCAAAATGTACAGCCATGACACATTTTTAAGTTTAACCTGAATTACTAGCATTTTCTCTGTCAACTTTTAAAGTCAACCAGCCTTGGTTTGTAGTGTATGCTCTTAAATACTCCCATCATACTTGAGTTAAAATTACCAACATGTTGTCACTGAATGCAGAGTTGTGGTATGTCCCCCCTACAAATGTTAATCATAAATAAAATATAGTAAATAAATGCTCAAAATCAGGTTCTAAACTATTGTCTTTAATATAACTTACTGGTTATAGTAAAAATTTAGACTATAACCTATGAACATATGTATACAATACATACGTTATATATTACCCAGTATAAACATGTATTTACGTGTGTATTTCTACACACACATACATAAACACACATACGTATACACCTTTTAACAACCAGTTCACAAAATTTCTAAAAATATAAAAATTAGCTCTTGTAAGCCAGAATGAGGCTGCCCAAGTGCACCACTAAATCAACGGCTTTGCTTCTGGTGAGTTGCTGCTAGGGCTCAGCATTCCCTGGGCTGCTGCACTTCCTAGAGATCAGAAATCCCTTTGTAAGAGCAGGCCCCCTTCCCAGCATGCCAGACATCTTAAGGTATTCTCAAAAGATAGTGATGCTTTCCTCATGACACAGGTTCAAGGAAAGGCATTTTGGCCCTGTCTCAGGGAGCCTAATGACAAGGTAAGTGAGAAACTCAAGACATGAGAAAGCAAGTTCAGCATCCCAAATTTTCCAGTTCCTTCCTGTGTATCAGGCAAGGTCATTTCTGTACTTCAAATATCATTTAGTTTCAGTCAGGACTCAGGAGATTTGCAATCACCTACCCAGAAAATTATGAGAAAAGCAATAAACTGCACAAATTAGCACATCAAATATGTAATACCCTGTGTGTGTACCATAAATTCAGTCCAGTTCAAAATTTTGTTCTAATATCTGAGGTCAAGCACTATGAAAACCCATTTTTGCAGCCATTTTCTAGGTTCTGATATAAATGTTGATACTTTGGGGAGTCTCTCAACCTCCCCTAACCTCTTTTCTTGTATCAACCTCTAGGCCACTTTAGAATCAGATTTTCATTCTTTCTCTTTTAAATCAATGAAGCCACAGTGTTGGTGAGCTAAAAGGGAAATAGGCTAACCTTTAACCTTCATCCACAGCTATCTCAGGCAAAGGATAATTAGTTGGTATGGTTTCTTAAGATTTCTTATGGGCTTAAGAGTTTTGAAAATCCGCAAATTCTCCCACAAATCATCATTCCAATAACCAGGATAGCAAATGTCCCTGAACGTCAAACAATTTACTTAAGAAATCTGCCAAAACTGTGAATTCACTTGGCATTGTAGCTCATTCTTTGATATTTAGCAATCATAGAGCTACAAGGAAGTCTTCTAACTATGTTACAGAAATGGCTGGTATTCTAGTCCATGCTTTAAAGCAAAAATTTTTAAAAAGTCATTATTGCTTTTGCTTTATATTCTCCAATTCCATTATGAACAAGCATCGGACAAACCCCTTGCACTGGCATTTCTTGTCCTTTTGATTGGTCTAAAAATGATCTCAACCACAGCGGATCAGCTGTTTTACTGTTGCTATCAAAGCATGCTACTTGCACAAAGTATGAATAGGAGCCTTATAATCCTTTGCTCCATTTCATCCAATAACCAATCTTTATAATAACCCGCTTTTCTCAGGATGTTTTGCCTGAAATCCATCCAAGGATACCAACTTCTGTATTGGTTAGGTTTCTTTGGTTGACGGCAAAAGAATTTAATCTGATTTTGAAACGAAAACAAGATACTAGTAGGATACAACTTGGAAAGAATATTCAACAGGTCAGCTCTAGTGAGCAAAGCAGCAGGATCACAGGCAGTATCCTCAAGTTGTGGCCAAAGGACGACTCATTTACAACTTCCTCCTGCGTCCCGAGGAGAGTTTCTGATTGGATTAAAGTGAACCAGGTACAACTGGCAACACAAACAAAACCTCACTGAATGACACCAGAGCAGCCCCGGGGAAAGTCTATGTGCGTTTCTGTGTGCATGGTTCCGATCTGTGCTGTAGACAAAAACAAATATCTATCTGATATGTATTATTTTCATAATTTTAACTTTATAAATTTTTGGTATTTATAGCCATATGAAAATTATACCCTGTTAGTAAATTATATCTTTCTGTATGGAATTCAACCTTATTCTTTTCAGTGACTGTGTAATCTACTGGGTTTTCTGTAATTTCACTGATTAACTAGTTTACTAGTGCCAGACATTTAAGCTACTCCAAATTTCTTGCAATTCTAATAAATGTGCTTATGCATCTATATTTCTGCACTTGTGCTTTTCAAGAAGATAAATTCCTAGATTTAGAATCGCAGCAAAGTGGTTAGTTACATTTAAAATGTTGACAGGTAACATTAGCTTCTAAAATGGCTTTTAACCAATTTATCCTCCCAATGTATAAAAATATATTTCTCACATCTGTAAGAGTACTAGCTATTATCCATAAAATTTGTGACTTATGTTGGTGGAAAGGGCTTTTTAAAATTTCAATTTATCCGATCATTACTGCAGTTAGGAACTTCCTCTATTTTATTTGACAATTTCATGTTCTGCATCTGTGAATTGCTTGTTGGTGTGCTTTTCAGACTGTATCTTATCCTTGCTGCTTTTCTTTTCTTTCTTTTTTTTTTTAAAGATTTTATTTATTTATTTATTTGACAGAGACACAGTGAGAGAGGGAACACAAGCAGGGGGAGTGGGAGAGGGAGAAGCAGGCTTCCCACGGAGCAGGGAGCCGGCTGCGGGGCTCGATCCCAAGACCCTGGGATCATGACCTGAGCTGAAGGCAGACACTTAACGCCTGAGCCATCCAGGCACCCCTCCTTGCTGCTTTTCAACAGCACTTTTTAGAAGGGCTATATCCTTCATAATATGTATATGTTTAAAATATCTCCCAGCCTGTCATGTGCCTTTTAACTTTGCATAGTGCCTTATACCATGCACAGGGTCTAAAACTTTTACGTGCTCCTTCCTGTCACTCTCTCTTCATGGCTTCTAGACTCTGCGTCCAGTTTACCAAGTCTTCCTGAACTCAAAGGGATAGAAATATTCTATATTCTCTTCTAGAATTTTGTGTTTCCTATTACAACTTTAATCCATATTCAGGGAACTTCTCTGTAAGGAGTAAAATGTGGCTCTGACTTTACTTCCAGTTGGGTAACTGTCAAACACCATTTAAATAATCCATCTCCCCCAATAATATATCAAAAATACCATTTCAGTGGGGCTCCTGCCAGGCGCAGTCAGAGGAGCATGAGACTTGATCTTGGGGTTGAGTTCAAGCCCCACACTGGCTCTAGAGATTACTTAAAAATAAATAGACACTTAAAATACTACTTTTGCAATCCACTGAATTCATGGGTATAAGATCTTTTCCAAAAATTTCCTATGATGCTTGCCTACTTACCACTCTATGTGATTTTCAGAAGAAAACTGTCAATGTAAAAATATCCTACAGTTATCATGACTGAACTGAGTAAATGTAGACATCTTTACAGTATCGAAGCTTCCATCTACAAACATGTATGAATCTCCATTTATTCAGAACCTCTGTTCTCTTTCAAGAGATTAATAATTTCCTTTCCATATAGAACCATAAGTAAATTAATCTATCATTTCATTTTGAGGGGGTTGATATCAGAACTGAATTAGCCTCATGAAAGAAGTATTCCAAATACTTTACAGTATTATGTTTTATTTTTTTTCTATACTCTAATAAAACAGTTTAAAATATGGCTAGACTCTTAAAGTTCTCTATTGCTTCAGTTTTAAATATTAAGGAATTTTTCTTTTTTTGCCTTGATTAGCTATAGTCTTACATTCCTGGGTAAATTCTAATTCTTTTGTTTCAGTCTTATCCAGAGCTCTAGGCACTTCCTAAAACATATTCTGTGTACCAGGTTTACACTAAATTTCTGCACCTACAAAGGCATACAGCCCTGGAGTCATGAGAAAGCCACTATGTTACTCTGATGCCAAACTTAAAAATACTACACATGCTAATCCTCATTATCCACCTTAAGATGTAGTTTCAGTTCCAAAATTATTATAATCTCCTAGTACTGATATACTGCTTTCCAGAGTTCACTCTTTAAACATAATTTTTAAACAGACTCTGAATGATACTGACTTAACATTTACCAAGCACTTAGTCTGGGTCAGGCACTATTGCTAAGCACTTTATATGCATCAAATAGTTTAAATTTTCATAACCAGGGTTTTGAGATAGTAGTTTAGTTACATTTACATGTTTAAAAGACCACCACGGCAGTAGTGTGAAGAAAGAACTTGAAGGAAATAAAACAGGATGTAAGACCAGTTTTTATATTGGAACAGTCCAGGTGAAATGACTGTGTTTTGGAGTAGGACAATGAGAACTGAAAGAAGTGGACGAATTCCAAAAATATCTAGCAGATATATCCACGGGGCTTGATGACATATGGGGTGAGGAAGAGCTAAATGCCTGAGATGACTCTGCAGCATGAACTTTCTGATGATGAGTAAGGTGTGCACTTTGTCTGAAGACTTTTCCACATTCTTTACATTCATAAGATCTCTCTCCAGTATGAATTCTTCTATGTAGATTAAGGTGTCCAATCTGGCTAAAGGTTTTCCCACATTCCTGACATTCATAAGGCTTTTCTCCAGAATGAATTCTCTGATGAACTGTAAGGGATTGACGATGGCTAAAGGCTTTACCACACACACTACATTCATAAGGTTTCTCCCCAGTATGACATCTTTGATGACAAATAAGAGATGATTTTGTTCTAAATGCCTTCTCACATTCAACACATTCATAGGGCCTTTGGCCGGTATGGAGTCTCCGATGCTGAGAACGGGATGAGCTATCGCTAAAAGCCTTTCCACATTCGCTACATTTATAGGGTTTCTCTCCAGTATGAACTCTCTGATGTTGAATAAGGCGGGTAGTCTGGCTGAAGGCTTTACCACATTCATTACACTCATAAGGTTTCTCTCCTGTATGAATTTTATGATGTTGGGCAAGGTGTGCCCTCTGGTTGAAAGCTTTACCACATTCCTTACATTCATAAGGTTTCTCTCCAGTATGAATTCTCTGATGAGTAGCCAGCTGTGAACTTATGCTAAAAGCTTTTCCACATTCTTTACATTTGTAGGGTTTTTCACCAGTATGAATTCTCAAATGAATGGCAAGGTGTATACTCTGTCTAAAGGCTTTCCCACATTCCTTGCATTCATAAGGTTTCTCTCCAGAATGCACTCTTTGATGTTGTGTGAGTGAAGCATGATGGCTGAAGGCCTTCCCACAGACAACACATTCATAAGGTTTCTCTCCTGTGTGAATTCTCTGATGGACAGTAAGGGATGAGCCATAACTGAAGGTTTTCCCACACACTTTACATTTATATGGTTTCTCTCCAGTATGAATTCTCCTATGCTGAATAAGGCCTATGTGATCACTGAAAGCTTTCCCACAATCGATGCAATCAAAAGGTTTCTCTCCAGTATGGTAATACCTCCAGTGACGAATAAGGGATGTGTTCTGCCTGAAGGCTTTCTCACATTCGATACATTCATAGGGTCTTTTGTCAGTGTGACATCTCTGATGTCGGGCAAAGGATGAGCCGTCACTGAAGGCTTTCCCACATTCCTTACATTGATAGGGCTTCTCCCCAGTATGAATTCTCTGGTGCTGAGCAAGGTGGGCAGGTTGGCTGAAGGCTTTTCTACATTCCATACACTTATACGGTTTTTCTCCAGTATGAATTCTTTGATGTTGAATAAGGTGCACATTTTGGCTGAAGGCTTTCCTACATTCTTTACATTCAAAGAGCTTCTCTCCAGTATGTATTCTGTGATGTTGAACAAGGTGCTGACTCTGGTTAAAGGCCTTCCCACATTCTTTACATGTATACGGTTTTTCACCAGTATGAATTCTCTGATGAACAGTAAGGGAGGAGCTGTGGGTAAACATTTTCTCACATTCATGACATTTAAAAAGTTTCTTTCCTGCATAGACTTTGTGTTTTACTACCGTGGAATTTTGGGAAAAGCTTTTTTTACCTGACCTGTGATTATAAACATTTTCTTCTATATTGTCTAGATGGACAAATTTCCCAGATTTGTTATAGTTGTGATCTATTTCCTTAGTAAGGGTTTTCTTATGAGTGGTTACTTCTTGCCTGATAAATGCCTCTTGACTTACCAACTCCCTCTCAAATAGATCTTCACATTTCCAATTTTCTCTGTAAGTGGAAAACTCAAGTCCATAGCCTGCAATTCTCTCCATTAACACATCATCATACATGCAGTGCTTCAGAGATAATTCTTGTGTCTCATATATAGATCCCAAATCTGAAAGATAACAAAAATCAAGTGCTTCCTTTATCATCGGATATAACAAAGGAAATATTTAATGTGGACAAGGTGATTGAAAAATAGGGAATCCCACAAAATCTATTATGCACCACCACATCAACTGAAAAATATGCAAGCGGATTTCAGAGCTCAGGGAAACATGGAGAAGGTGATTAAGAGAATTAAATGTAGGATAATGAGGTCCTAGAGAAGTAGGCTACAATAATATATTTTTTTAAAGATTTTATTTATTTATTCATAAGAGACAGAGAGAGAGGCAGAGGGAGAAGCAGGCTTCCCGCTGAGCAGGGAGCCCGATGTGGGGCCTGATCCCAGGACCCTGGGATCATGACCTGAGCCGAAGGCAGATGCTTAACCATCTGAGCCACCCAGGCGCCCAATAATAATATTTTTAAATTTTATCCTGTATTAACATAACAGACTATAAATTAAACACCATTCCTCTATTCTTTCCCACTTCCAGTTGACTTGCATATACAGGTAGGTGAATGTTGTTTAAATATGAATATCATCACATAATTACTGCTGATCAAAAATCTCTACAGATTCTCAGCAACCACAAATACCTTATGCTTCATGACTTCCCTTGGGGTTTAGGTAAACTCCTAGACTAATCTTTTCATAACCAGAAAATAGTGTTTGTATGTACCATTGCTACATATTTCAATACAGCAAACTCTTCATTTCTCAGAGATCCCTGAACTTCGGGTTGCATAGTAAGGCATTTTTCCATTCATCTTCTCATTCTCACCAGCCTAAGAAGAGTGTCACTTCCCAGTCCACATCTTAATGGGGTTTTGCCATAACTCTTTTTGAATAAACTAGTTTCATAATGATATGTAGGTGTGTATTACTATTATCAAGTTTTTTTACTGCCACTTAAAATACCTTTCTTGCCTTGTGAGCTAGAATATAAGCTTCAGGGAAGGAATAATATGCTTTAAACACTACTACTAAATCACTTAACATATATTACAGAAACTCAGGCATATATAAGTTCTCAATAAATACATAAAGAAATTTGTATTGAAGAGATGATACTAAGAGAAAATTTCAGGGAAAAGGTTGGTATCAAGAAAGGGCAAAAGAGAAAGTGCTTTCCTTTCCTCTCTTAGTAATAGTAAATTAGTAATAGTAAATTACTGACTAATCCAATACTCCCTAAAACAGTTTTCTACTATGTGTCAAACATTATGGACACTAATGTAATAAAAGACCAGTTGTTCTTGAGGAGTATACAAAGTGATTAGAAAGGTAAGACCAACAAAGAAAGTAATTGAGAAGAAAATATGGAATATCAAGTACCAAATACCACAGAGCCCATGTGGTAAAAGGTAAAACTAGTATAGAAGTTCAGAGATGAAAGAGATCAAATCTACTAAAGCAGTTAGGAAGGACTCAAGGGCGCCTGGGTGGCTCAGTTGGTTAAGCGACTGCCTTCGGCTCAGGTCGTGATCCTGGAGTCCGGGGATCGAGTCCCATATCGGGCTCCTTGCTCAGCAGGGGGTCTGCTTCTCCCTCTGACCCTCCCCCCTCTCATGTGCTCTCTCTCTCTCATTCTCTCTCTCAAATAAATAAATAAAATCTTTAAAAAAAAAAAAAAAGGAAGGACTCAAAAGTGTTAACAAGCTTCCTACCCCTTCCTGCTGCTTCTTTCCTTCCGAACACTCAGGCTTCAGTAATTCTAGAATTGAGGCCATGAGAGTTCAATGAACCAATCACCTATAGTTTTTCTTACACAGACGACTGAGGGGAGAAATACTGGACAGAAAAACAGAAAGCTGGGTACATCATGGATTCCTCCCATGAAGATAGTCTTCAACACTACAACCTCCCATGGGAAACCATGGTTGTCCCTTATCTTTTTGGCCTTTCTCAACACAGATGCTAAGATATCTTACTCACTTAATAATAGTTGAATCTATACTGTGACTCAATATCCCACCAAATGTATAGGCTTCATCACCCTTCCTTCTACCTTCCTATTCTTCACAAGGCCAATTATTACTTCTTATCAGGAAAGTTCCTCTATTTCCCTATTTAAGGCAGGTGGTAGATTCCTACACAACAAAGTATAAAGCATGTCTAAGCAGGACTAATTTCTCTTCCAATATTTGGCTAATTGGAGGATCCTGGAAATCTAGGATCCAAATCATCTCAAAATGTAAAGATCCAATACTGTTATGGAAGTGAAAGAATTTCATAAAGGCACAATTATCATGTATGATTTCAACATTCCCTTGTCTTTGTGAACATTCAGTTCAGTGGGGGAGGCAGAAAATAAGCATGTAAACCATAAGCAGGTTAATTACAGGCTTTCCTGAATGTTACAAAGAAAATAAGTGGCTTGATAGAAAGTAATTGGGTTGGAATAAGGGAATGTTCATTACAGAAGGTGGTTAGGGAAGGCCTCTGATGAGATGATTTTTGAGCTCCGGCCTGAGAGTCTGTGGGAATTCACAGTGCCTAGCTAGATAAGATTTTTTTTTTTTTTTAAGATTTTTATTTTATTTATTCATGAGAGACAGAGAGAGAGAGAGGCAGAGGGAGAAGCAGGCTCCAAGGAGCAGAGAGCCCAATGCGGGACTCGATCCCAGGACCCTGGGATCATGACCTGAGCTGAAGGCAGATGCTTAACCATCTGAGCCACCCAGGCACCCCAAGATTTAATAAATCTTATCTGGATGAAACTAGTTGAAAAGCAAAGAAGGAGTGTCCAGAAAACTGGGCCCCCTTTAAGGTTTCTGGACTGAAAACAGCCAGATCCTCATTGCGGCTCAATGCACTCATCCAGGGAGTAAATGCTTGACTTAGGAGAAACATTTATCTTTGGAGGTCACATACCCCATGCACTCCCTGTCTACATGCCGGTCATGAGCACAGCTTGTTCTATTCACACGATACTCCCTATACCACTGTCCTGATTATTACAGCTTCACATTCCTTCTTGTTTTTCTTATTCCCTTGTTGTATTGATAACATTCACAATAAAGGTGGAGGCAGAGTCTGGCTCGGGACCTTCCGCCACTAGAGCATCCAATCCCCAGGCCCTCCCCTTTCTCCTACTAAGGTGTCTTTTCATTCTCTGTCTCAGGGTTTGCTGGCCAAAGCCGACAGGAGTCAAGCATGGACAGACAGCCAAGAGAAGGGCATTCTGGGCAGAGAAAACAGGAAGTGCACAAGCCTGAATCAGTAAAGAGCTTGGTGAGTTCAGAAAAGGTGACCAATGGGTAAAAGCAGTGCTTCTCAACTGTACTGTCAGGCACTCGTCAACATCTGTAAGGCAAACAGAGGCAAAAGAATGATACTGCTTGTGATCCAGAAGCAACCAAACTTGGAACTCAGACTGCCTCTGGCCGCACCTGGTCTCTCAAGGCTTAGAGATTCTGTATGTTCGCATACCTTTAACACACTTGAATACCTGGATACCTCACATAGTTTAGAAAACTCTGTACTAAAGTAGAGTGAAAAAGCTAAAAAATCATAGAGGATAAGGTAAGAGAAGTAGGATAGAGCTGGTTACATAGGGGCTGGTAAGGTCTGGGTCTTTCCTATTTGCAACAGGAAAGCAAAGAAAAATATAAAGCAGGACAGATTATGATTTTTTTTTTTAAAGATTTATTTATTTATTTGAGAGAGTGAGAATGAGAGAGAGAGAGTACATGAGAAGGGGGAGGGTCAGAGGGAGAAGCAGACTCCCTGCTGAGCAGGGAGCCTGATGCGGGACTCGATCCAGGGACTCCAGGATCATGAGCTGAGCTGAAGCAGTCGCTTAACCAACTGAGCCACCCAGGCACCCCCAGATTATGATTTTCAAGCAGCACCCAATTTAGGAGTTAAGATTTAAGAAACAGAGAAGCTTATATAAGTCTATATGGCAAAAGGAAAGAAGGGATGGGAAAGAGCTGGATAGAGATTTTTGCAAACTGAGTTAGCTATTAGAGAGAAGAGATATCTAGACATTTCGGGAGCCGATGCTACATACTAAAGTTTCAATTTTCTCCTCAGGCTTGGAAGGCTTGAGAAGAGCTTCTAATAGCATAAGAAAGGAGAAAGTATCACCTTTGAAAATAGCTGAGCCATTATCTAGAAAGGATTCCCCTATCTGGTTCTCCCACACTCACCTGGGAATGGGCTTCTTGTCATCTCTGTCTTCATCTCCCAAGGCTCTTTCCCTTGCTCCAATAAAGAGATCATATATGGCTTAGAGATGCAAAGACCTGCATACAAAAAAAAAAAAAAGACATGAAAATTGGCTGTGTTTTGGGTATTTCAGAGCTATAAATCAGTTCCTTAATACTGATGGAATGACATAACATGAATGATTAGATCAAAGGGTAAAACACATTTTAGAGACAGATTACATAAAGCTTCTGGCATAGTCTAGTGGAACTGCCAACAGTCAACTTTATGAAAGTTAAGCAATTTTCTAAAGGACTCGGGGCAGAAATTCTGCCCAGCATTTTCACAGGATCATCAGACAGCCAGTAAGTGATGTATTGTAAAGAGCCCCTAGAGACAGAGTTTGGAGTTTGAATCAAGTTAACTGCCTGCTTAAAAAAACAAAACAATGTGGTATATATACACAATGGAATATTATGCAGCCATCAAAAGGAATGAAAGCTTGCCATTTTCAACGACGTGGATAGAACTGGAGGGTGTTATGCTGAGCAAAATAAGTCAATCAGAGAAAGACATGTATCATATGACCTCACTGATATGAGGAATCCTTAATCTCAGGAAACAAACTGAGGGTTGCTGGAGTAGTGGGGGGTGGGAGGGATGGGGTGGCTGGGTGATAGACATTGGGGAGGGTATGTGCTATGGTGAGTGCTGTGAATTGTGTAAGACTGATGAATCACAGATCTGTACCTCTGAAACAAATAATACATTATATGTTAAAAAAAAAAAAGAAGATAGCAGGAGGGGAAGAATGAAGGGAGGGAAATCAGAGGGGTAGATGAACCATGAGAGACGATGGACTCTGAAAAACAAACTGAGGGATCTAGAGGGGAGGGGAGTGGGAGGATGGGTTAGCCTGGTGATAAGTATTAAAGAGGGCACGTTCTGCATAGAGTACTGGGTGATATACGCAAACAATGAATCATGGAACACTACATCAAAAACTAATGATGTAATGTATGGTGATTAACATAATAATAAAAATTAAAAAAATTTTAAAAACTCTTCAGAGAAATATAACAGAATCTACAGCCTCTACAATGTTATTATTTATAGTGTCTGAGATAAAAATCCAAAATTATTACACCTAAGTAGAAAGAGGGAAAAGTTAATCACACTCAGAAAAATAAGCAATTAATGAGGAGCTAACCAGTGATAACACAGATGTTGGAATTAGTAGACCAGGATTTAAAAACTGCTATAATAGGGACGCCTGGGTGGCTCAGTCGTTAAGCGTCTGCCTTTGGCTCAGGTCATGATCCCAGGGTCCTGGGATTGAGCCCCGCACTGGGCTCCCTGCTCAGCAGGAAGCCTGCTTCTCCCTCTCCCACTCCCTCTGCTCGTGTTCCCTCTCTCGCTGTGTCTCTCTCTGTCAAATAAATAAAATCGGTAAAAACAAAACAAAACAAAACAAAACAACTGCTGTTATATCCATACCCAAAAATGTAAAGGAAAATATGCTTAGAATTTCTCAGCAGAGAAATAGAAATTATAAAAAAAGAACCAAGTGGAAAGTTTAGAATTGAAAAATATAGTATCTGAAATTTAAAAATTCACTACATTGGGGTGTCTCGGTGGTGCAATCAGGTTAAGCACCCAACTCTTGGTTTTGGCTCAGGTCCTATCTCAGTGTCATGGATCAAGCCCTGCGTCAGGCTCCGTGCTCAGTGCAGAGTCTACTTGAGATTCTCTCTCCCTTTCCCATCCCACTCATGCTTGCTCTCTCAAATAAATGAATAAAACTTTTTATTTTTTTATTTTTTATTTTTTAAGATTTTATTCATTTATTTGACAGAGAGAGAGATAGGAGAGAGGGAACACAAGTAGGGGGAGTGGGAGAGGGAGAAGCAGGCTTCCCGCTGAGCATAGAGCCCGATGCGGGGCTTGATCCCAGGACCCTGGGATCATGACCTGAGCCGAAGGCAGCCGCTTAACTGACTGAGCCACCCAGGCGCCCCAATCAATAAATCTTTTTAAAAAATTCACTACATTGGCTTAACAAGACAGTGAAGAAAACACAAAAAGAGTAAGTAAATTTGAAGTTAGTCCAATAGAAACAGAAATTATCTAATCTGACATACAAAGAAAAAAGATTTTAAATAATGAACAGATCTTCAGCTACCTAGGGCATAATATCAAAGGTTCTAATACACTTGTAATTGAAATACCAAGAGAGACAGCAGAAAAAATTATTTGAAGAAATAAGCCAAAAATTATTCAAATTTGATGAAAGACATACATTTTGTTTCAAGAAGCTCAGTGAACCACAAGCAGGATAAAAGGGGCTTCTCAGAGAAGCATGGTGCATGCATTGTTCATTCATGCATGAAACACATCTTTTTGGGGCACCTGGGTGGCTCAGATGGTGGGGCATCTGCCTTCGGCTCAGGTCATGATCTCCAGGTCCCGGGATCGAGCCCCTGAGTCGGGCTCCCAGCTCAGCAGGGAGTCTGCTTCTCCCTCTCCCTCTGCTCCTCCACCCCACTTGTGCTCTATCACTCTTTCTCTCTCAAATAAATAAAATCTTTTAAAAAAAGTTTTAATAATAAATAAAAATGTAAAGAGTCACTAATGTAATTCTAAATTATGCAGAGGAGAAAATATTCTTACCCAGTGATACCAGGTTCTGATAGTTCTCCAACATCATATTCTTGTACAAATTCCTCTGAGCAGGGTTCAGCCATTCCCATTCCTCCTGGGAAAAGTCTATTGCCACATCCTTGAATGTCACCAAGTCCTGAAATGACACAAATACACTCTTGATCAACCAATGCTCATTTTCATGCATAATTCCACATTGAAGCTTTAAGTTGTTTCTACTTTATGTGAAAAATAGCCCTTGGAGGAGAAAAAATATTAAACCATTATAATATGAAGCTCCAACCTAAAATGGTAGTTATTGAAGTGTTAAATTGCACTGTATGCAAGGATGCTAACCTATTTCTTGGCATGTGGAAATACGGACAGTGGCCACAGGGCAGTAAATAAGAGCCTCAAGGAATGACTTACACCTCTGGTTGAACCTTTAAAAACAAAAAAGATTATCTAAATTGATTGTTTGCAAATGGTACTCTATGAGATCCTAGTGTTTCAGAAGGGAAGGGGCACTGAACTGATGCGGCTGATTTTATTTTTTCTTACACAATAAAAATAATGAATATAACTAGAATGCAATTTTCTCATGCTATGCCATTAAGAACTAGCATGCCATGCCATACCAGAGTAAACTGGGTAATATGAGAAATCACCCAGCATTAAGACTACAACACATTCAGTCTGTATATTGAGTCTGCATACAACAAACCTATATACTTATGATAATATCAAAATGAAACCGAATAAAATTTTTAGCTTATTTTTAAAGTATCTTTTTAGGGATGACTGGATGGCTCAGTCGGTTGAGCATCTGCCTTCGGCTTGGGTCGTGATCCCAGGGTCCTGGAATCGAGTTCCGCGTCAGGCTCCTTGCTCAGTAGGAGTCTACTTCTCCCTCTCCCTGCCGCTCCCCCTGCTTGCACACTCTCTCTCTCTCAAATAAATAAATAAAATCTTTTAAAAAAATAAATAAATAAAGATTTATTTATTTTAGAGAGTGAGCAAGTGAGCAAGCATGGGGAGGGGGAAAAGGAAGAGGGAGGGAGAGAGAGAGTCTTAGAGTCTTAAGCAGATTCCACAGTGAGTGCAGAGCCCAGTGCAGGGCTCAGACTCACTACCCTGAGATCATGACCTCAGCCAAAAGCAAGAGTTGGATGCTTAACCAACTGCGCCACCCAGTGCCCCTAATTTTTAGTTTCTTAAAGAATTAAATGTGTTAAGAAAAAAATAAACGTCCAGTTATAATCACCAGCAGGTTGTAAGAAATTTTTAAAAATATGGGGCGCCTGGGTGGCTCAGATGGTTAAGCGTCTGCCTTCAGCTCAGGTCATGATCCCAGCGTCCTGGGATCGAGCCCCGCATCGGGCTCCCTGCTCAGCGGGGAGTCTGCTTCTCCCTCTCCCTCTGCCTCTCTCCCTGCTCATGCTCTCTCTCTCTCTCTCTCTCTGTGTCTCAAATGAATAAATAAAATCTTTAAAAAAAATATTATGGGCATTTTTCATATTCAGATTTGTTTATTTCCTTCGAAAAGAAAAATCTTCATGCTCAGTGCCTTGTATACCAATGACATTGGTAACTGACTATATAAAGACAAAGCTATACACAGAACGTCTTAATTTGCTTTTTGACAGTAAACGCTTAAGTTTAGAACAAAGTCATGATACAAAAATATTTAACGTATGGGACTTCAGAAGATATATACACATTTGAGCAAATGTTTAGTCTATTTTCCACATAAAAGTATTAAAAATTTGTTGTTGTTGTTTATTTTTAATCTCTACACCCAACGAGGGGCTTGAATTCATGACCCCAAGATAAAAAATTACATGATCTTCTGACTGAGCCAGCCAGGCGCCTGGTATTAAATTTTTTTTTTCAGATTCACTGTGAGCTACTGGTTTTCCTGAATTCTGGATTGCCCCTTCTAGTTAGCTGAGGCTGTCATTTTGGCTGATACCCATCATTTCCCATGTTCTTATAAAACCAAATTCATTCACATGAATTTATCAAAGCAAGCAGTAGTCACATTCTTTCCAATATTTAGTATAATTTGGTCACTAGTAAGGAAATAGGTGTTTTGGCTATTCCCACAGAAAAATAAATTTGATTGCTTGTGATCCTGGTATTCATGGCTAATTATTTGGTATGTATACCATCAGATTTTTCCCAATGTTTATGTAGGTATCTTTTTTTTTTTTTTTAAGATTTTATTTATTTATTTGACACAGAGAGAGAGACAACTAGATAGGAAACACAAGCAGGGGGAGCAGGAGAGGGAGAAGCAGGCTCCTGGCTGAGCAGGGAGCCCAATGCGGGGCTCGATCCCAGGACCCTCGGATCATGACCTGAGCCGAAGGCAGACGCCTAACGACTGAGCCACCCAGGAGCCCCTGTAGGTATCTTTATATGCACGTATGTCTAGTTCTTATTTTTTACCGATAATCTTATATTCAATTAAATAAATTCTAATTTATAGCATTTGAAGAGATTATAATTATTTTTTAAGAAGAAAAACATTTATTGCAAGGTGCAAGGTATCAGATAATATATGGGATTTCCAGAAGGACTAAAGAACAAAGTTTGCATGCTACACAACCAAAAGCTACACATCAGGAGAAAAGCCCAATTAGACCAAGATGGTATTTTTCAAAAATCTCATTCTCCAGTGTCACCCACAGATAAGCACCTAACATGCTATGATTCGACCAGTAGGAACTTCAGCCAGAGCTGCCCCAGAACAACCAAATCCCTCTGCCACTATGTTGGCTTTAAAATCCTATATCCCTGAACTTAGCTGCTGCTTCCTGTTGCTGACTTCTACCTTCCACACATTGCATTGGAAGTCTCTACTTGGCATATATAAGTCATATATAGAACCCTATTTGCAAAGGAGTCTGGGTTAACGCAGTTTTTAGCTTTCTGGTTTGCCCCAATACACAGTAAACAAAAACTGATCTTATACTAGGCCAACAAAAGCCTTAACAAATGTTAAACCCCAAAATTTTCAGGCTATAGTCTCTGTTCAGGATTCAGAACAACTAAAAACTATGAAAAGATGAACTTAAAACCTTATGTACTTGAAAACCTATACATGGGGCACTGGGTGGCTGTCGGTTAAGCGTCTGCCTTTGGCTCAGATCATGACCCCAGGGTCCTGGGATTGAGTCCTGCATCGGGCTCCCTGCTCAGTCTCCATCTGTGCACTTTCTCTCAAATAAATAAATAAAATCTTTTTTTGAAAAAAGAAAATCTATACATAACTAATAGAGAGTAATAAAATTACTTTTTTTAAGATTTCATTTATTTGACAGAAAGAGAGAGAGCACAAGCAGGGGGAGCAGTAGGGGGAGCGGGAGAAGCAGACTCCCCACCGAGCAGGGAGCCGGACGTGGGGCTCAATCCCAGGACGCTGAGATCATGACCTGAGCCAAAGGCAGATGCTTAACTGACTGAGCCACCCAGGTGCCCCATAAAATTAAACTAGTAAAACAGACAACAAATTTAGGATATGGAAAAATGGGAACCCTCATACACTGCTGCTGAGGAGGTAAAGTGGCACAGCTGCTTTGAAAAAACAGCTTAGCAATTTCTTAGGAAGTTAAATATGAATTGACCATATGACCCAGAAATTCCACTCCCAGGTTAATCTACCCAAGAAAAATGAAAACGTATCTCCAAATAAAGATTGCACATTTCACTATTTAATGTATACTAATTCATTTATTTGTGTCTATTTTCCCCCTCTGCCCCACAAGGGCACAGTCTTTGTCGTTTCTTGCTGCTCCGCCAAAATCTAAAAGACCACCTGGCATGTACAAGGTCAAAAAATATCTGTTAAATAAATAACTTTAAAATAACCAGCAAAGGGGCGCCTGAGTGGCTCAGTTGGTTAGGCGTCTGCCTTCGGCTCGGGTCATGATCCCAGGGTCCTGGGATCGAGCCCCACGTCGTGCTCCCTGCTCTGCAGGAGGCCTGCTTCTCCCTCTCCCACTCCCCCTGCTTGTGTTCCCTCTTTCACTATGTCTCTCTCTGTCAAATAAATAAATAAAATCTTTAAAAAACAAAACAAAACAAATACAAGGGGGCGCCTGGGTGGCTCAGTCAGTTCAGTGCCCAACTCTTGATTTTGGCTCAGGTCATGATCTCAGCATCCTGAGATCAAGCCCTGCATCCAGCTCCCCGCTCCATATGTAGTCTACTTAAGATTCTCTCTCTCCCTCTGCACCTCCCCACCTGCTCATGCACTCTCTATCTCAAATAAATAAATAAATAAATATTATTTTTTTAAAAAACACAGAAATACAAGTAAAACTGAATGTAGTCTAGGGCACCTGGGTGTCTCAGTCGGTTGAGCCTCCAACACTTGATTTCAGCTTAGGTCTTGATCTTGGGGTCGTGGGATCAAGCCCTTAGTCGGGCTCCACGCCCAGCGAGGAGTCTCTTTATCCCTCTCCCTCTGTTCCTTTCCTTGCTTGCTCTCGAGTGCTCTCTCTCTCTCAAATAAATAAATAAATATCTTTAAAAAAACCAAAAAAAAACAAAACTGAATGTAGTCCAGCAAAAGAATCAAGTGTAAGATGCAGGGAGCATTCTAAATCAGTTAAGAAAGAGATGAGTTATTCAACAAATGCCACTCGGTCAACTAGAGAGGCAAGTGGGAGAAAAATGAACCCCTGACTCACTTACGATACGTTAAACATTTAAGGTAACAATTTGATGTAAATTAAGTTTAATGTATAAATTTAATGTAACTTTGAACCTTATCTTCACAGAAAAAAATCACCAAAATCTAATATAAACTTATCAGAAAACTATGAGGAGTAAAACAAATCTTTTAGAAGAAAACTGGGTATCTACAGATCCTGGGGTAGACAAGGATTTCTTAAACAGGACCCAAAAAAACACAAGCTGTGAAGGGAAAAACCTATCTGTGTATGAATAGAATACCCTGGATGATATATGTCTCCTAAGAACTGGAAGGCAAAAGGGAGGTTTTATGTCTTAAATTTCATACTATATATATCACCTATTTAAATTTTTTAAATTGCAAAAATTAACTAGAATAAGGTTTTTAAGGTAAACAAAGAAAAACATTTAAGAACTTAAGGATAAAATTAGAGATTTGAACAAAATTCAGCCAGAAGGATGATTCCTAATGCATTCTAAAAATAAGAGAGGAACAGCAAATGCGCATTTTACTTGGAACCCAACTCACTTGTTCCAAGACACCTCTATTCCACATAACAGAAACCAAACCTTTTCCCAGGCGTCAATACTGAATTAAATATGAAGTGGTTGGGGCGCCTGGGTGGCTCAGTCGTTAGGCGTCTGCCTTCGGCTCAGGTCATGATCCCAGCGTCCTGGGATCGAGCCCCACATCGGGCTCCCTGCTCGGCGGGAAGCCTGCTTCTCCCTCTCCCACTCCCCCTGCTTGTGTTCCTGCTCTCACTATGTCTCTCTCTGTCAAATAAATAAATAAAATCTTAAAAAATAAATAAATAAAAATAAAAAATAAATATGAAGTGGCAAGAGGGGACTCAGAGGAGGCTCTATGCCTCATCATACTCAGTTTTACTTACCCATCAGGCAGTTTGCGTTAGCGTGCTCTGGGAAAAGTGGGCACCAGGCCCGTCAAGACTGTTGTTAATCAGGGAATTTTCAAAAGAAAAGAAGCATTACTAAGTCCTAAAGAGTAAGACTGCCTTTCACGGATGAGAATGGAAGTAACTAACCTGGGATATGGCTTTCACTAGTTCAACAGTCATTTCCACCTTTCCTTCCTGGCTTCTCTTGGAGAACAGCAGTATCCTAGAGGACAGGCATGGAGGGAGAGAAAGGGGAGTGAGAAGATGAGGCCTGCTCTCCACTCCCAGAATCATCAGCCTAAAAAGTCTGTCTTCCCCTTCTTCCTCCCAGCTTTCCTTAATTCCACTGCCCAAATAACTGGAAGATTCTAGGCAACCTATGGCCACTGAGGACTGTAACTTATAATTCTGTTTCTCTTATGCTTGAGTTCCTAAATTTAATCTTTTTCCTAAAAGTTGCCTTCCCATTCTTGGTCTTATTTTTATAGGTAAAGGTGGCTCTTTCCCTCCCTGCATCTCTGCTTCATGCTTTGACACAGTCTACAATGTGAAAAGCTGACTCCTCAATGCATCAGAAGCCAGGGTTATCATTCTCCACCCAAATCCCCACAGGCCTCACCTGCCTCTCACGCTGGAACAATGGGCACTGGCATAATTTAGCATCCGATTCTGCCACCTTCAGTCTCACCTCTGTCTTCAGTCCCTTGGCTTCCCTTCCTTTTTGTCACCCAGAACTGAAGGTATCTCCTGCTCCAGTCGGGGGCTCTAGTCAATCGCCCCACCTACTGCTTTTTCCTGGAATTCTTGGAACTGGGAGCAGGGAATTCTACTCTAGGATTCTTACCTCAGCAGCACACAATACCCAAAACCAACACACATCAAGAAGCTAGTGTTCTTCCAAGTCGTCTCCCCATACACCTCAGTCACTCCGGGCCAGCTACAAGCACACAGTGTGACACGCAAACACTGACCCAAGATCTCACCGACTTCCTGACCACAGAGGACATAATCCCAAGCACCCAAAGGAAGCCACATCATATGCAGTCACATACACCATGGTCTCGGAGGCCCATGTACAAACACACATGGTGACACACAAATATCACACACACACCCCCAATCTTATTCTCTCACCCACAACATGGCTCACTGCGCCCTCATCTCTGCCGTGCTCATGCAAGCACACTCCACCACCTAAAAGAGGCTCTATCTGCAAGCCTTCAGGGGACAATCTCCAGTTCACGTGGTCTCCGTCCTGCTTACTCTGGTCTCACACACAACCCCGTCACTAGCTTTCCTCTCTCTCCCACACACACAAACGTGACGGTCTCTCACACTCCACATTCACACACAAAAACACACACATTCTCAATGGACACTTTTTTTTTTTTTTTTTTTAAGATTTTATTTATTTATTTGAGACAGAGAGCGTGAGAGGGAGGAGGGTCAGAGGGAGAAGCAGACTCCCTGCCGAGCAGGGAGCCTGATGCGGGACTCGATCCCGGGACTCCAGGATCATGACCCGAGCCGAAGGCAGTCGCTTAACCAACTGAGCCACCCAGGCGCCCTCAATAGACACTTTCAAAGACACTTGGATTTCTGTTACACGTAGATACTCTTCAAGAACAAAATTCAGCCGAGGAAAATGTAAAGGTCTAATTGGTTCTGTTCAGCAATTCGAGAACAGGGCTACATCCCATCCTGCAAGCAGAGGGGAACTCCAAGGAGTTGCATGAATCAGACAGTTTTAGGAGGGTGGGGCAAGAAGTTATTAGCAAAAGGAAGGAAAGGACTGTTGCAGGCCAGGTAACTTTCCCTGAGTGGGACTGTGAGGGGTCTTACGCAGATTACCTCAGCTTCCTTTGGGGGAATGGAGAAGGCCCATGTGACATGTTACCTCATTGGTGCCATCCAGAAAATTCTTGACTGGTCAGCTAAAACTCCATTTCTGGGGTAGGTGGAAACTGCAATTAGGACGGCTACTGGAGCACCTGGGCGGCTCAGTCGTTAAGCATCTGCCTTCGGCTCAGGTCATGATCCTGGGGTCCTGGGATTGAGTCCCACGTCGGGCTCCCTGCCCCATGGGAAGCCCGCTTCTCCCTCTCCCATTCCCCCTGCTTGTGTTCCTGCTCTCACTATCTCTCTCTCTGTCAAATAAATAAATAAAATCTTCAAAAAAAAAAAAGGATGGGTATTAACTGCCTGTCTGAGGACTTGACCTAAATGGTGCCAAATTGGGCCTGTGGTTTTCTTTTTACCACTACACAAACACATCCTGGTCTCTCACATTGTAGTTGTGCCCCCTTCCCCCACGTCTCACACACACCAAATACACAGTGCCCTCTCTCACACTCAGATACCTCATAGGACAGACACACACACTGCAGTCACACACTCACACCAACATGCTCCTGACATCTCACACTTTCTCTTACACACACCTGCCACCATTTCTGACATCTCACACACACACACCTCCCACCATCCCTGGCAGCTCACACTTTCTCTCACACACACATCTCCATGTGGCAGCTCACACTTTCTCTCACACACACCCCTCCACCATCTCTGGCAGCTCACACTTTCTCTCACACACACCCCTCCACCATCTCTGGCAGCTCACACTCTCACACACACACACCTCCAACATGTGGCAGCTCACACTTTCTCTCACACACACCCCACCACCATCTCTGGCAGCTCACACTTTCTCTCACACACACACACCTCCAACATGTGGCAGCTCACACTTTCTCTCACACACACCCCTCCACCATCTCTGGCAGCTCACACTTTCACACACACCCCTCCACCATCTCTGGCAGCTCACACTTTCTCTCACACACACACACCTTCAACATGTGGCAGCTCACACTTTCTCTCACACACACCCCACCACCATCTCTGGCAGCTCACACTTTCTCTCACACACACACACCTCCAACATGTGGCAGCTCACACTTTCTCTCACACACACCCCTCCACCATCTCTGGCAGCTCACACTTTCACACACACCCCTCCACCATCTCTGGCAGCTCACACTTTCTCTCACACACACACACCTCCAACATGTGGCAGCTCACACTTTCTCTCACACACACCCCACCACCATCTCTGGCAGCTCACACTTTCTCTCACACACACACACCTCCATGTGGCAGCTCACACTTTCTCTCACACACACCCCTCCACCATCTCTGGCAGCTCACACTTTCACACACACCCCTCCACCATCTCTGGCAGCTCACACTTTCTCTCACACACACACACCTCCAACATGTGGCAGCTCACACTTTCTCTCACACACACCCCTCCACCATCTCTGGCAGCTCACACTTTCTCTCACACACACCCCTCCACCATCTCTGGCAGCTCACACTTTCTCTCACACACACCCCTCCACCATCTCTGGCAGCTCACACTCTCACACACACACACCTCCAACATGTGGCAGCTCACACTTTCTCTCACACACACCCCACCACCATCTCTGGCAGCTCACACTTTCTCTCACACACACACACCTCCATGTGGCAGCTCACACTTTCTCTCACACACACCCCCTCCACCATCTCTGGCAGCTCACACTTTCTCTCACACACCCCCTCCACCATCTCTGGCAGCTCACACTTTCTCTCACACACACCCCTCCACCATCTCTGGCAGCTCACATTTTCTCTCACACACACCCCTCCACCATCTCTGGCAGCTCACACTTTCTCTCACACACACCCCTCCACCATCTCTGGCAGCTCACACTTTCTCTCACACACACCCCTCCACCATCTCTGGCAGCTCACATTTTCTCTCACACACACCCCTCCACCATCTCCGGCAGCTCACACTTTCTCTCACACACACCCACCATCTCTGGCAGCTCACACTTTCACACACACCCCACCACCATCTCTGGCAGCTCACACTTTCTCTCACACACACACACCTCCATGTGGCAGCTCACACTTTCTCTCACACACACCCCTCCACCATCTCTGGCAGCTCACATTTTCTCTCACACACACCCCTCCACCATCTCCGGCAGCTCACACTTTCTCTCACACACACCCACCATCTCTGGCAGCTCACACTTTCTCTCACACACACACACCTCCATGTGGCAGCTCACACTTTCTCTCACACACACCCCCTCCACCATCTCTGGCAGCTCACACTTTCTCTCACACATCCCCTCCACCATCTCTGGCAGCTCACACTTTCTCTCACACACACCCCTCCACCATCTCCGGCAGCTCACACTTTCTCTCACACACACCCACCATCTCTGGCAGCTCACACTTTCTCTCACACACCCCCTCCACCATCTCTGGCAGCTCACACTTTCTCTCACACACACCCCTCCACCATCTCTGGCAGCTCACACTTTCTCTCACACACACCCCTCCACCATCTCTGGCAGCTCACACTTTCTCTCACACACACCCCTCCACCATCTCTGGCAGCTCACATTTTCTCTCACACACACACACCTCCATGTGGCAGCTCACACTTTCTCTCACACACCCCCTCCACCATCTCCGGCAGCTCACACTTTCTCTCACACACACCCCTCCACCATCTCTGGCAGCTCACACTTTCTCTCACACACACCCCTCCACCATCTCTGGCAGCTCACACTTTCTCTCACACACACCCCTCCACCATCTCTGGCAGCTCACACTTTCTCTCACACACACCCCTCCACCATCTCTGGCAGCTCACACTTTCTCTCACACACACACACCTCCATGTGGCAGCTCACACTTTCTCTCACACACCCCCTCCACCATCTCCGGCAGCTCACACTTTCTCTCACACACACCCCTCCACCATCTCTGGCAGCTCACACTTTCTCTCACACACACCCCTCCACCATCTCTGGCAGCTCACATTTTCTCTCACACACACCCCTCCACCATCTCCGGCAGCTCACACTTTCTCTCACACACACCCACCATCTCTGGCAGCTCACACTTTCTCTCACACACACCCCTCCACCATCTCCGGCAGCTCACACTTTCTCTCACACACACCCACCATCTCTGGCAGCTCACACTTTCTCTCACACACCCCTCCACCATCTCTGGCAGCTCACACTTTCTCTCACACACACACACCTCCATGTGGCAGCTCACACTTTCTCTCACACACACCCCTCCACCATCTCTGGCAGCTCACATTTTCTCTCACACACACCCCTCCACCATCTCTGGCAGCTCACACTTTCTCTCACACACACACACCTCCATGTGGCAGCTCACACTTTCTCTCACACACCCCCTCCACCATCTCCGGCAGCTCACACTTTCTCTCACACACACCCCTCCACCATCTCTGGCAGCTCACACTTTCTCTCACACACACCCCTCCACCATCTCTGGCAGCTCACATTTTCTCTCACACACACCCCTCCACCATCTCCGGCAGCTCACACTTTCTCTCACACACACCCACCATCTCTGGCAGCTCACACTTTCTCTCACACACCCCTCCACCATCTCTGGCAGCTCACACTTTCTCTCACACACACCCCTCCACCATCTCTGGCAGCTCACATTTTCTCTCACACACACCCCTCCACCATCTCTGGCAGCTCACACTTTCTCTCTCACACACACACCTCCATGTGGCAGCTCACACTTTCTCTCACACACCCCCTCCACCATCTCCGGCAGCTCACACTTTCTCTCACACACACCCCTCCACCATCTCTGGCAGCTCACACTTTCTCTCACACACACCCCTCCACCATCTCTGGCAGCTCACATTTTCTCTCACACACACCCCTCCACCATCTCCGGCAGCTCACACTTTCTCTCACACACACACACCTCCATGTGGCAGCTCACACTTTCTCTCACACACACCCCTCCACCATCTCTGGCAGCTCACATTTTCTCTCACACACACCCCTCCACCATCTCTGGCAGCTCACACTTTCTCTCACACACACACACCTCCATGTGGCAGCTCACACTTTCTCTCACACACACCCCTCCACCATCTCTGGCAGCTCACACTTTCTCTCACACACACACACCTCCATGTGGCAGCTCACACTTTCTCTCACACACCCCCTCCACCATCTCCGGCAGCTCACACTTTCTCTCACACACACACACCTCCATGTGGCAGCTCACACTTTCTCTCACACACCCCCTCCACCATCTCCGGCAGCTCACACTTTCTCTCACACACACACCTTTCACATGTCTGGTATCTCACTCCACACCTTCCACTCAGTCTCTCCTGGAGCCGAGCACACGAGCTCACCCTCCACGCACAGGCGCACCACTTCTCTCACACTCCCGCCAGCACAGCCTGGTCGCGCGCCGGCCACTCGGGTCCAGCCTGCCGCACACGCCCCCTCCCCGCACGCGCCCCGCCCCAGCCGCCCCCAGCCCCGCCGGCGGCCGCCGCAGCCCCGCACACCCGCCCCTCGGACGGCAGGACCGCACCGCGCCGCGCTGGCCTCTGGGAAACGTAGTCGGCGCGGGGAAGGCTCCGCGGCGGCGTCCGGGTTGGACCTACCCCGCCGGGGTCAGGGCGGCCCGCCTCGCCTGCCCGGCCCGGCTCCCGCGCTCCGACTGCCGACCCGCGGGAACAGCCCACCGCCTCCGCCCGGAAACCGCCCCTCTCACCCGAAGGGCCGCAGGCGCCAACGCCCGGGCTCCGAATGTGCCGCGGACGAACCTCCCGAGGCGGACGGCGTAAGGGGGAGGAGCCCGAGGGACGAGGGGCCGGGCGGGGCGGGGCGGGGCGGGGCTCAGCGGAGGGGGCGTGTCCTTGGGCTGTAGAAAACGGGAGGAGGAGCCCGAGCGCCGGAGCGTGCGTGCCTGCGATTGAATACCGCGGGGCTCGGGGGCGTGGCCTAGGGGTCAGGGGCGTGGCGGAGCTGGGCGGGCGTGTGCGCAGGCGCTGAGAAGGCGCGCTCCCCCTCCCTTCGCCTGGAGACCGGAGGCGTCCCTAGTTACCCGGTGGCAGGTGCGAGACGACGGCGCTGCGGGCGGCCTTTCGAGGGGACGCCGTGTCCGTGTGAGCGTGGAGTGGCTCCGAGCGCGGCCCTCGAGCCTGTCCGAGGGAGCGTGGTTTTCTTCCTGTGCTGTTCTGCGACGGGAGGAACAGCGACCGGGAACCCCGAAGGTGTCCTATCCCCGAAGGGACGACAGCAAATTAGTAACTGTCCCTCCTGCCCAACGGGGGCGTCGTCACTATCCTTACTGTTGAGAGGCAGTGATGAGGCGATGTCTCTGCCGCCAGACTGCTGGGCTTGAACCCCGTCCCGCCCCCACCCCGACAGTGGAGACGGTCCCCGCTGTGGGGGCCTAAGAAAAAGAATTAGGCCTAGAAGGCTTGCTTTGGGGAAACGAATGAAAGAATGGAAATGGAGAAAAGATGGGCGCCTGGGTGGCTCAGTCGGTTAAGCGTCTGCCTTCGGCTCAGGTCATGATCCAGGGTCCCGGGATCGAGCCCCGCATCGGGCTCCCTGCTCTGCGGGGAGCCTGCTTCTCCCTTGGCCTCTGCCCCTCCCCCTGCTCGTGTTCTCTCTCTCAAATAAACAAAATCTTTAAAAACATTTTTTTCCTTTCACACCCTCGTTGAGATTTCTATCCCTAAATAAACGATTTCGAAAAATGGGAGTATATGGTACATAATCTCCGTAACATCTTTCTCCATTATATGGTGAACATCTTCCTGTATCAGAAAGCATTCTTTAGTCCACTTCTAAGTAATTACAATGTCAAAATTATTGATGGCCACAAGTAATTTGAACAAAATGCTGCTGTTGGGCTCAAAATCCTGAACACTGAGCAAATTGTTAGTATACTTCTATCTCGGGTCTTGGCCAGCTGACCCTCCTGTTGGTGCGGTGTGGATGCCTGGTAAGTGTCATTCATGTCTGGGGTCAGAGATGCTCAGATTTGTGAGGATATATGAACCAGAGAGGATTGTGTACTGTTATTTGTTATTGGAAAACTACAGGAAGCATTTGGGTTGGAATTCATTACATTCTCCTACTCCAACATCTTGGTCTACCCTCCAGAGCTTCTGGCATCTTTCACTAGAACTCTCTGGGCCAATTCTACAGATAAAAATATAAACTCTGCACAAAATATGAAAAACACTTACCTGAAAGCACCAGAGAGTTACCAAAGGAGGAAGAAATTGAAGAAATAATCACCAAAATTTTCTCAATTTGATGAAAGTATAAAATTGCAGATTCAAAAAGTCGAGTGTCCTGGGGAATCTTAGGCAGAGGACGGACCCAAACTTTCACAGTTGGGTTGGATTAAGAAGCCCTCCTATGTGGCCCCATGGCAGGAGGCAGTGCTGGGGGTTAGAAATGGAGAAAAAAAAAAGCCTCCTCCTTTCTTCCACCATCCAGACTACCCTCTCTTACCCTTACTCCTTGCCCTTTTTCAAGCTACCATCAAAGAACAACTAATCTCCTGGCAGCTACTGCAAACCCCAGCATGCATGGGTTAAACTCCTTGGGTCTGCATTTCTGTAGAAAAATAAAGTGCCCAAATTCAGCTGATAGGATGTAAGCAACATTTGCAATGGGGACTGAAAACTAAAGTGATCTTCCTTTAGTATATAATGAGAAAACAGCACTATCTAGTGTAATGTCCTATCATCATGCTTTGTGGTTGCCATTATACTTGTTAGGTTATATATTTACTCATTTATCTGCTTACTGTCTAACTCTCTTGCTAAAGTGTATGCTCCATGTTTGTTTTACTTCTGTTGAGAACACTTCCTGGGACAAAGTGGGTACTCAATAAATAGATGTTGAATGGATGAATTTTAAAAATTGATGTGTTCTAACACAGGAAACAACAGATGTTGGCAAAGATGCGGAGAAAGGGGAACACTCTTACACTATTGGTGGGAATGCAAACTGGTGCAGCCACTCTGGAAAACAGTATGGAGGGTACTCACAAAGTTAAAAATAGAACTACCGGACAGCCCAGCAATTGCGCTACTAGGTATTTCCCCAAAGGATACCAAAAAAAAAAAAAAAAAAACTAATTCGAAGGGGGACATGCACCCTGATGTTTATAGCAGCACTATCAACAATAGCCAGGTTATGGAAAGAGCCCAAATGTCCATTGACTGAAGAATGGATAAAGAAGATGTGGTGTATATGATGTGGTTTTGGAATATAAGTGAGGTTCAGTGGTGTGGAGTCCGGAGCCGATGACCAAGAAAATTCTTGAGACGTCTTTGGTGCAAAATGGTGGTTTATTAAAGCACGGGGACAGGACCCGTGGGCAGAAAGAGCAGTTGCACCAGGGTTGCGAGGGGTGGCTGATTATATACTACGGGGTTGGGGGTTAGTGAGGAAAAGGGAGGTTTTCAAAAGGATTTTCATTGTTAAGACTCACAGGCCTCACCACTGTCAAGTTAAGGTTGTTTTTCCCTCTAGCAAGGCATTACAATGAAGATAGTTGGGAACTTCCTGGGGGAACATCACACTCTGCCTGCTTCAAGTATCTGTCAATGGGCTGTAGGTTATAAGGACATTTAATTATTGTATCTACATTTCCTTCTGGAAGCTAGGTTATTGATAGAAATACTTTGTTCTTGTAGATTGCTAAGACATTTGTAAACTGAGGGAGACTCAGGTCTTGCAGGATTGTGATCTCTATAAGTTGACTGTTTGTTTTTCCTTTAGGGTAGCCAGGAGTGCCTGAGGAATGTTACATATATCCAATGCGGGGGTGGGGGTGGGTGTCAGCGTCTGCTTTGTCCTCAGCTTGCCTTCTGTTCCCTCATCCTATATATACACATATATAGGATATATGTGTATATATACATACACACACACACACACACAATGGAATATTAACTCAGCCATCAAAAAGAAAGAAATCTTGGGGCACCTGGGTGGCTCAGTCATTAAGCGTCTGCCTTCGGTTTGGGTCATGATCCCAGGGTCCTGGGATCGAGCCCCGCATCGGGCTCCCTGCCCAGCGGAGAGCCTGCTTTTCTCCCTCTCCCTCTGCCTGCCTCTCTGCCTACTTGTGCGCTCTCTCTCTATCTCTCTGTCAAATAAATAAATAAAATCTTAAAAAAAAAAAAGAAAAATCTTGCCATTTGCAGTGATGTGGATGGAGCTAGAGTGTATCATGCGAAGTGAAATAAGTCAGAGAAAGATAAATACCATATGATTTCACTCATGTGGAATTTGAGAAACAAAACAGATGAACATTGGGGAAAATAAAAAGAGAGAGAGAGACAAACTGTAAAACAGACCCAACTATAGAGAACAAACTGAGAGTTGCTGGAGGGGAGGTGGGCGGGGGATGGGCTAAATGGGTGATGGGTATTAAGAAGGGCTGGTTGTGCTGTTGTGATGAGCACTGGGTGTTATATGTAAGTGATGAACCGCTTACTTCTACTTCTGAAACCAATATTACACTATATGTAAACTAACTGGAATTTAAATAAAAATTTGAAACAAAAATAAATAATCAAAATAATAAAAAATCGATGTGTTCTATGTGTATTTTCTAAATACCCACAAAGGACCCAAAGAACTTGTCCCATGCTGAGATCATCCCATGAAGAGATGGTTTGTGTCCCCTCCAGGGTGATCTAAAAATAAAATGAAACCCCGGGAATGAAAGGGGAAAAAGGAACGCATCAGCTAAGGGGAAGTGCTCAGCGGCTGTTTTGCAGTACAACAGCGCCACCTGTCGGACACACGCAGCACCTACAACAGCTCCATCTAGAAGCTCAGGTTTCCTGCAAGCAGCCTGGGGTCAATTTAGACTGAATGATTAGCAAGCAAGGGGTGCAACAGGCTTTGCTGACCGAATGAAATAGTCTATTTAGGGGTAGCCAACCTCACCCTAGCGTCTTCTCAGTTTTACACGAAGGAGTGGCAGCCACCCTTTCAGGGAAGTTTTATTCTTTTCTCTAAAGAGCCATAGCTCAGTGGGGATTTTGAATTACAGAGGTTCCCCTGAAGTGCCTGCGTGCAATTCCCTGAAGTTTCAGCCGAGTGAAGGCGGATGGTATCTGTCAATGGTGGCAGCTACCCACACGGATGCAGTGAGGTCAGGTGCAGGAACCGCCGGACAGGAAAGCCATCGGTCTTGCCTTAGACAATACTCTACGGACCAGACCTTAGGAAACACTAAGAATCTGGAGGAGCAGCGGCCTACTTACTACCCAGACAGGAGAGAGAAGAAAGGGCAACTGATCTTATTAGTAATTTTACGTAATTTAAAAATCACAGGGCGCCTGGGTGGCTCTGTCGGTTAAGCGACTGCCTTCGGCTCAGGTCTTGATCCTGGAGTCCCTGGATCGAGCCCCGAGTTGGGCTCCCTGCTCAGTGGGGCGTCTGCTTCTCCCTCTGCCCCTCCCCCTGTTCATTCTCTCTCTCTCAAATACATAAATAAAATCCTTTAAAAAAAAAAAAAAAGGAAAGGAAAAGGTGACACTATTCCTAAGGGAATGTTCAAAACTAGGCTACCTGGTGTAAGGTGTGCGCTCATTGATTACCTGGCTCTCCCATAACCTGAAGGAACATGTACTCCCTTCCCCCTAACAGCTGCGTCTGCAGATTTTCCCTTGAGGAAGGTGATTCTGTTTGGTTTGCTGAGGTAGCCAAATGCAGCTGTGATTGTTCTTCTTTTTGGGGGGGGGAGATGGAGGAGCTGGGGCTTCTTTTAAATTGTGGTAAAATATACGAAAAATTTGCCATTTTAGCTATTTTTAGGTCTACAATTCAGTAACATTAAGTACATACACATACAGCACAACGAAGTAAGGTTTCTCCAAGAAATGCAAGACTGTTTTAATATTTGAAAATCAAGCTATATAATTTACCATCTTAAAAAAAAAACCTCAAAAAATTAAAAACCGTATGATCATTTCAACAGATGCAGAAAAGCTTTTCACAGAATGTAACATCCAATCCAGATAAAGGCTTTGAGCAAACTAAGAAAGAAGGGAAATTACTCAACTTGATAAAAACTATTTTCAAAACCGGCTAATTTGATACATAATGATAAAAAAAAATAACTGGATGCTTTTTCCCTAAAATCAGGAATAAAGTAAGGATGTCTGCCCTCACTTCTACTTACTCTTGTACCAGAGGTTTCAGCCAGTACAATAAGGCTAGGAAAAATAAATAAGACACCAAGATGGGAAAGAAAAAGTAAAATTGCCTTTATTTGAAGAAGACAGGGTCATCTTTGGTTGAACAACCCAGCCAATGTACCAAAAACAAAACAAACTAGACCAACTGAGTTTAGTATAATTGCAAAATACAGCTGGAATATACAAACATCCATGGTATGTTATAATAGCAATGAACGATCAGAAATTGAAATTTAAAAAGGACAAATAGAATTATATTGATCTATGTGTCTGTTTTTGTGTCAGTACCATACTATCTTGATGACTGCAGATCTGTAATATAGTTTGAGGTCTGGCATTGTGACGCCACCAGCTTTGGTTTTCTTTTTCAACATTCCTCTGGCTAAAAATAGAGCTACCCTATGACCCAGCAATTGTACTACTAGGTATTTACCCCAAAGATACAAATGTAATGATCCGAAGGGGCACCTGCACCCCAATGTTTATAACAGCAATGTCCACAATAGCCAAACTGTGGAAAGAGGCTAGATGTCCATCAACAGATGAATGGATAAAGAAGATGAAATACATATATGTATACACACACACACACACACACACACACAATGGAATATTACTCAGCCATCAAAAATGATGAATACTTACCATTTACATCGACGTGGATAGAACTGGAGGGTAATTATGCTGAGCAAAATAAGTCAGTCAGGGAAAGATAATTATCATATGGTTTCACTCATATGTGGAATATAAGAAACAGTGCAGAGGATCATAGAGGAAGGGAGGGAAATCTGAATGGGAACTCATCAGAGAGGGAGACAAACCATGAGAGACCCTTAGCAATAGGAAACAAACTGAGGGTTGCTGGAGGGGAGGTGGGTGGGCAGATGGGGTAACTGAGTTGATGGGCATTAAGGAGGTCACGTGATGCGACGAGCACTGGGTGTTATAGGCAACTGATGAATTACTGAACTCTACATCTGAAACAATGATGTATTATTTGTTGGCTAATTGAATTTAAATTTTAAAAAATGAGCCTCGTGGGGCGCCTGGGTGGCTCAGTCGGTTAAGCGGCTGCCTTTGGCTTGGGTCATGATTCCAGGGTCCTGGGATCGAGCCCCATGTCGGGCTCCCTGCTCGGCGGGGAGTCTGCTTCTCCCTCTGCCTCTGCCTCTCCCCCTCCTTGTGCTCTCTGTCAAATAAAGAAATAAAATCTTTAAAATAAATAAATAAATAAATAATGAGCCTCGTGTGTAGTAAAAATATATATAAAGGTTGTTGCCCTGTTTTCTGAGTGAAAAAAAAGACAAATAGAATTTAAAAATATGAAATATGTAGGGAATAATGTGATAAAGGTTATGCAAGATCTATTAAGTGGAAACTACAAAATACTGTTTAGAGAAATTAAAGGCCTGGCAAGTTCTGTTTTGCACTCTTGGGAGCTCTGATCTACCCTGTAAGGAATCCAGCTATTCTGTCCAGACCACATGAGGCCAGTGAGGGGCAGAGGCTCTGGGACTTCATGGAGAGGATCGAAGCAGCAGTGAATGGTGGAAATAGAGGCCCCATAATTATGATCTCAGCCACTCCGGCTTGGTGTCAGATATGGGAATAAAGAAACCATCTTGGATGTTCGGTCCTGGCAGGAACCACGTAGACCAAAGGGGAGATACCCATCCATCCAAGTACAATATGAACGCTTCACACACAGAATCATGAGAAAGTTATTAAAAAAAAAAAAAAAAAAAAGGTTCCTGCTCTGGCTCCTATGGTTGGGGTAGTCTGGTAAGTAGCAATAAATAATCGAGACAACGTGATTCTGAAGACCACAAAATTTTTTCACCTCATCTGCCTCCATCGTGAAAGCTCACCGAACTCCAACACACAGAACACTTTCCTCAGCTGTGTCAACTCAAGGTACATCAAAGTGCTCCACGGTTGCAGAAATACATATTTTCACGTTTTTCAAAATGTTATTTTTAAAATCACCTTTTATTACTATTTTTAAAAATCTGGTTTAGGGCGCCTGGGTGGCTCAGTTGGTTGGGCGACTGCCTTCGGCTCAGGTCATGATCCCAGGGTCCTGGGATCGAGTCCCGCATCGGGCTCCCTGCTCTGTGGGAAGCCTGCTTCTCCCTCTCCCACTCCCCCTGCTTGTGTTCCCTCTCTCGCTGTGTCTCTCTCTGTCAAATAAATAAATAAAAAATCTTTAAAAAAAAAAAAAGAGAGACATATGAAGGACTTCTTACACTTACTACATTCGTAGGGTTTTTCTCTGGAGTGAATTTTCTGATGTCTAATGAGCTGTGCACTTTGAGTGAAGGTCCTGCCACACTCCTTATATTTGTAGGGTTATTCCCCACTATGAATTCTCTGGTGATCAATCAGAGCTGAGGAATGGCTAAAGGCCTTTCCACATTCGCTGCACTCATGGGACTTTTCTCGAGTATGTGTACTGTGATGCTGAGTGAGATGAGTCATCTGGCTGAAGGTTTTCCTACATCCCTTACATTCATACGGTCTCTCACCTGTGTGAATTCTCTCCTGCTGGTTAAGATGTGCCCTCTGATTGAAAGCTTTACAACATTCATTACACTTATAGGGTCTGTCTCCTGTGTGGATTCTGATGTTGAACAAGAGTTGATCGACGACTAAAGCATTTCCCACACTCACGGCACCGGCAGCACTCCTCCTTAAGAATTTTCTGATGGATGAAAAGGTGCGTTATTGCTGCAGGAAGTTTTTGCATATTCTCTACATATGCTGCTTGCTCTTTTCATCACTATTTCATGTTGGAATGTTTCCTCTTTTATACTCTTCCTTAGAGATAATTCCTTGCTCTCCCATATTGACTCACTCTCTGAAAATGAATATATAAATGTATTAATATGAAGAAGCATACATACTACTACTGTTGACATTCTCCGCTTAAAGACTCTAGTACTTAGAGATATATATGTACAAGGACATTGTCATACTATTTGGCAAAAAAGCTGGAAACAACCATTAAAAGTGTCTATTTGAGTTGATGACATTATGTCCAACAGTCTGGCTCATTTACAAAACTATTAAAAATAACTGAGTTTCAGCTATATGGACTGGAAGAGATAAAGCTGACTGAAAAGACCAAGTTGCAGAGTAACAACTATAGAAAGATATCTATTCTGTAAGAGCAAGAAATAATAAGATGCTCCCTGTATGTGTGTGTTGTGTATTAACATGGATGAAAGTGTGAATATACACCTACTATATTATTACCATTGGTCCTCTAGAGTGGTGAGAATGAAAACACATGCAAGGAGATAATGAATTTTTTCTCTTCAGAGCATGTCACTGAATACCTAATAAAATAAACCCATCTTATTTTTATAAGTTTAAGAGATTTTTATTATCGCATGTTTTAACTAGCCATCACTCACCCAATCCAATCATTTCAACAATGAAACACTGATGACACAAGAAAGTACACATCCAATTGGTATGGATAATGAGTGATACAAAATCTCAGAGACGGGCAGATATTTGGAGATAGAACTTTTTTTTTTAAGATTTTTTATTTATTTAATTCAGAGAGTGAGAGAGAGAGCAGGAGCAGGGGGAGGGACAGAGGGAGAGGGAGAAGCAGACCCCCCCCTGAGCAGGGAGCTTGATGCGGGACTCAATCCAGGGACCCTGGGATCATGACCTGAGCCAAAGGCAGATGCTTAACCAACTGGGCCATCCAAGCACCTGAGATAGGACCTTTAAAAGAGATAAAATCAAGTCAGTAGGATGGGCCCTAATCCAGTATGACTGGTATTCTTTTAAGAAGAGATTATAACACTGACACACATAGAGGGAAGACCATGGGAAGACACAAGAAGGCGATGGCCATCTACAAACCAAGAGAGGCCTCAGGAGAATCCAACCCTGCTGACACCTTGATCTCAGTATTTATACCATCTAGTCTAGGGAGCTTTATTATGGCAGCCCAAGAAGACTGATCCAAGGGTCTTGGCCCAGCAATGAAGTCAATTCTCCTGCTCTCCATCACAGCATAATCTGAAGACTCTGGACTATCTGATCATTCTGTAGAACACTGCATTGGTCCACTATGTTGATGACATCATGTTCATGAGAATTGAACAACACAAAGTGGCAAGTAGCCCAGATGACCTGCTAAGACACATGTGCTCCAGAAGGTGGTAGACAAACACTATGAAGACTCAGGGATCTGGCACACAGGGAAGATTTTAGGGGTCCTGTGCAGATGGACAGGGAAAAGCAGACTCCCCGCTGAGCAGGGAGCCTGACTCAGGCATAGATCCCAGGACCCTGGGATCATGACCTGAGGCAAAGGCAGACACTTAACTGACTAAGCCACCCAGGCGCCCCTCCCTCACAAATTCTTAAATTGAAATCCTCTCAATGGGACAGTATTAGGAGGTGGGCCTTTTGGAGGTGATCAGGTCATCAGGGCAGATGCCTCATAAATGAGATTAGTGCCCTTGTAAGAGACCCCAGAGAATCCCTTCTCCTTTTCCTTCACATGAGGACACAGTCAGAAGATGGATGTCTGTGAACTAGGAGGTGGATCCTCACCAGACAATGAATCTACCAGTGCCTTGATCCTGCACTTCCCAGCCTCCAGAACCATGAGAAGTAAATGCCTGTTGAGGCGCCTGGGTGGCTCAGTCAGTTAAGCATCAGACTCTTGGTTTTGGCTCAGGTTGTGATCTCAGGTCATGAAATCGAGCCCCGCATTGGGCTCTGGCTTAGTTGAGAGTCTACTTAAGATTCTGTCTCTCCCGGGGCGCCTGGGTGGCTCAGTCATCAAATGTCTGCCTTCGGCTCAGGTCATGATCCCAGGGTTCTGGGATCGAGCCCAGCATCGGGCTCCCTGCTCGGCGGGAAACCTGCTTCTCCCTCTCCCTCTGCCGCTCCCCCTGCTTGTGCACTCTCACTCTGTCAAATAAATAAACAAAGTCTTTTTAAAAAAATCCTTGATTTAGGGGCACCTGGGTGGCTCAGTTGGTTAAGCATCTGCCTTCGGCTCAGGTCATGATCCCAGGGTCCTGGGATGGAGCCCCACATCGGGCTCCCTGCTCAGCGGGAAGCCTGCTTCTCCCTCTCCCACTCCCCCTTCTTGTGTTCCCTCTCTCGCTGTATCTCTGTCAAATAAATAAATAAAATCTTAAAAAAAAAAAAAAAAAGAGTCTCTCTCTGGGGGCGCCTGGGTGGCTCAGTTGGTTAGGCGTCTGCCTTCGGCTCAGGTCATGATCCCAGGGTCCTGGGATCGAGCCCCGCATCGGGCTCCCTGCTCCGCGGGAAGCCTGCTTCTCCCTCTCCCACTCCCCCTGCTTGTGTTCCCTCTCTCGCTGTGTCTCTGTCAAATAAATAAATAAAATCTTAAAAAAAAAAGGGGGGGTCGCTTGGGTGGCTCAGTCGTTAGGCATCTGCCTTCGGCTCAGGTCATGATCCCAGGGTCCTGGGATCGAGCCCCGCATTGGGCTCCCTGCTCAGCGGGAGGCCTGCTTCTCCCTCTCCCTCTCCCCCTGCTTGTGTTCTCTCTCATGTTGTGTCTCTCTCTGTCAAATAAATACATAAATAAATAAATCAATCTCAATTACTCAGAGGACAGCATGAGTATTTTTTGGATAAAGAAAACAGAAGCATTGAGGAATGTTTTCGAAAGAACAGCTGTATGAATGAATGAAAGAAAGAAGGAAGGTGAGCTGATGAAAAACCACCTGGAAAGTCAAGGTAGGAAGCTGATCATAAATTGAGGGAGGGAGGGGAAACACACTTCCATCTGGAGGCTGGAAGGAATTATTTCAAAAGATAGAGGAGCACAGGGGGATTGATGAGGATGAAAGCCAGACCCACTATGGAGCTGAACTCAAGGGCCCTCTGAAGGGAGGTGTCCAAACACCTCCAAGCTGCTGTCAGAGCAGCTGGTCTTGTGTACCTGTTGCCTCCCCTCTGCTTGGTTCCTGACTCATCTGCTCATGGAGATCTTGCCTCCCCGCTCCTCATCCCCCAGAGCGGTTTCCCTTGCTCCAGCAGGAAAGCTACATCAGGCTTAGAGACAGAAATGCCTGAGCAAAGAAAAGGAGACAGCAAGTGGCCACGCCATTATTACCCAAGAATTGAGCTCCGCTACCACAGCAATCAGGAAGAAAAGCCCCTATGAATATGGCCGAGCAACGTTTAAAGGTTTTCTGAAGGATGGGAATGAGACAGTTGCGCACTTCTAACTGCTCTTTATGGGACATGGAACAAAAACATAAAGCAAAGGCTACAGCAGTTGCCCAGAGAATTCCACCAGAAGGAGGAAGACACACCGGAGAACAGATGCTGAACTCAGGGCTCGATGCACTTACCTAGCCAGGCCAGGTTCTGATAATTTTCCGACATCACAGCCATGGACAGTTTTCTCTGAGCAGGGTTCAGGAATCCCCATTCTTCTTGGGAGAAGTCGATGGCCACATCTTGGAATGTTACTGATCGCTGAAATGGCAAACACTTTCTTACTCACAAGGCCTTGGGGAGATGGGCGAAGTCGCTCCCTTTCTCGCTATCTCTCTCTCTGTCGAATAAATAAATAAAATCTTTAAAAAAAAATACTATATTTTCCACCAAGATGTTAAAAATGGTGACAGGAGTATGGATTTCTCCTTCTGTAGCGTATTTCACAATTTTCTAGAATACTGGGAAACAGACTTCCCTAAATCTGTATGTGTGAAATAGAAGCTGTTCTCCAACTAATAAGGAGAAAAAGAAAAATCTCACTTCTTTTTAAATTTGCCCTTGGACATGGAATTAAAGTTTGGGGCACTTAAAAATCTGCACTATTCATGAGGCTCTCCATTTCACTAATGACTTTATTCTTCTCATTTCCTAGCATCTTTGGTAACTCTACCATGGTGCGTAGCTGTGTTTTAGTCCTACCTACAAAGCCTGAGGTCAAGTCAGTTGGACTGTAGTTCACATATACCGGTCTCATTGCAGGAAAGAAAAAATGAAATCCTAACTAACCAGTGATGTGCCTTCTAGAAGTCCAGTGGTTATCCTCCCCTTCGCAGAGCCCCTCTCTTGAAGAGCAGAGTCCTGTGGATGCAGAGCTGAGGACAAGAAGGGAACAAAACAAACAAACCAACAGCAACAAAAAAGCCTAAACTCTGCTGCCTAAACTCTTATCCATTCCCTTTGTAAAACATCAAAACAGAGCAGCGTGTCCAGCCATACCTTTATATGAGCATTACTGGTTCTTAAAGGTGTGGGAGATTCTGTTGCAATGTCTCCAACATCCACTCCTCCAAATGGTCCCTGGTAATGATGATCGAAACAACACTTTCTGTTCTGGGTGCTTTACATGTATTACCTTGATGCTCTGTCAGGGCTGAAGCAGCCATTCCTCTTTGTCTAAATGTCTCTCCCTGAAAAGGGCAGAATCCTGAGATGCCAGCTGGGGGAAGAGAAAGGAGGGATAAGAGACCCAGGTCTACTTTGTAGCTTCTCACATCACTGGTTTATAAGGTCCTCGTTCCACAAAAACTTTGTGTTCAAAAGACTTCTCAGCATAATTAATAAGCACAGGAAGGGCTGCCTGACATCGTGTCTCACCAGTGAAATGGAACTGAATAGGACAGTGAGAACTAATGAAAACAAAACAAAACAAAAAAAGATGCCAGTGAAGTAGCAACATGAACAATTAATATAGAAAAATAAATATCCAAGATAAACTCAAACAATAAAGAGAGGACATAATGGTAGGGAAAACCCCTAGTTCTAGGGTCAACAAAGATAAAATACTTAGAAGTTTAACAGAAACTGTATGACAAAACCTATATGACAATCTTTCAAATATGCCTGAAATACACAAAGTAGATTTAAACAAAGATTTCCCTTTTTCTTGGGCAGGAAGACCAATCCATCACAATGATAGTCAGCTACCTGAGATGATGTGAACTCTGTATTTGGCCTGTATATCCTCAGCTAAACACAAAAAGAAGGCTCCCATACTCCCCAGATAAGCTGTGTGTTAGCAAACCTGATACTCCATGCAAATAAGCAATGCTGTGGCTAAGCAAATAAGTAATATATTGTGGTTACTGGGAGTCAGGTTTTTCTCCTACCACAGAACAGAGTTTTAAATATAGAAAAGTAGAAATATGGAAGGAACTCTGTGGTGATGTACTGCAATTGGAGTTATCTGTGAATGCACTGGTCTTAATCAATGTAGTCAAGATATAAAAACAGATGTATGGGTGGTTGGCTGCTTCAGGATGAAGCTGAACATCTCTTTCCCAGCTACTGGCTGTCAGAATCTCATTGAAGTAGATGATGAACGCAAACTTCATACCTTTTATGAAAAGTGTGTAGTCACAGAAGTTGCTGCTAAGGCTCTGGGTGAAGAATAGAAGGGTCATGTGGTCCAAATCTGTGTTGGGAATGACAAACAAGTCTTCTTCGTGAAGCAGGATGTCTTGACCCATGGCCGTATCCATGGGCTATTTGAGTAAGGGGCATTCCTGTTATAGACCAAGGAGGACTGGAGAAAGAAGGTACAAATCTGTTCAGTGTTGCATTGTGGATGTCAATCTGGGTGTTCTCAATTTAGTCACTAGAAAAAAGAGATACTCCTGGACTCACTGACATTACCATGCCTCACTGCCTGAGGCCTCAAAGAGCTGGCAGAATCTGCAAACTTTTCAATCTCTCGAAAGAGAATGTTTGCCAGTATGTTGAGAAAGCCCCTAAACAAAGAAGGTAAGAAACCTAGAATCAAAGCACCCAAGATTCATTGTCTTGTTACTCCATGTGTCCTGCAACACAAACGTTGATGTGTGGCTCTGAAGAAGCAGCATACTGAGAAAAAAAGAAAGAGGCTGCAGAATATGCTAAACTTTTGGCCAAGAGAATGAAAGAGGCCAAAGAAAAACACCAGGAACAGATTGCCAAGAGACAGAGGCTTTCCTCTTGAGAGCTTCTACCTCTAAGTCCTATCAAAAATGAGATTTTCTAAGAGTAACAAATAAGATCAGACATCAAGGGGCACCTGGGTGGCTCAGATGGTTAAGCATCAGCCTTCGGCTCAGGTCATGATCCCAGGGTCCTGGGATTGAGTCCCACATCAGGCTCCCTGCTCAGCAGGGAGTCTGCTTCTCCCTCTCCTTCTGCCTGCCGCTTTCTCTCTCTCTCTCTGACAAATAAATAAATAAAATCTTTTTTTTTTAAATCAGACATCAAATCTCAAAAAAAGAGATGCACATATGAATGTATACATTAGGATATAATTTAGGATAGGATATCCCATCTGTCCCCTAATAGGGCCTAGAAACAAAAACATCCAAGCAGTAATCAGCACCTTGGTGTCTAAGTACCAGTCTCGAGGAATGAAGGAACGAAGGAATGAAGGAATGGAATGGAATGGAAGGGAAGGGAAGGGAGGGAAAGAAAGGAAAGAAGGGAAGGAAGGAAGAAAGGGAGGAGGGACAGCGGGAGGGAAGGGGGGAAACAAAACAAACCCCAGGATGCCATGGAGAAATAGAGACTCCAGGGCTAGCTCAGGGAAAGTACAAAATGTGCCTGTATCATCTCATGGTGCTAGAAAGTAAGGAAGTACTCATAAAATAATGGGGTATGTCTAAAACACAGAGAAACCAAATAGAGGGTGCTCCCAGTAGCAAAACCAGGGACAGTGTGAGCAAAACAAGCAATTAAGAGTAGTTCATCTCAAGATACTTGTTAATTACAGGGACTGAAACAATAACTTCACAATGGAGAAACCTGTCAGACACCCCTTCAACCACGGTATCGAAGTGATCATTCCCAGTTGACATCACGTACTACCTGACAGATATGATGTACTTGGGAGGGCACATGACTTCTGTGGTATTCATTTCCAAAATGAGTAACTTCAATCTAATCATGAGAAAACATCAGACCTACCGAAGTTGAAGGTCCTCCTATAAAATAACTGGCCTAGACTCCAAAAAGTGTCAAGGTCATGAAAGACAAAGATCTAAGGCACTGTCATCAATTAGAATAGACTTGGGAGACATGCCAACTAAATGCAATGTGGATTGGATCCCGGAACAAAAATATAGAACAGGAGTGGGGAAACTGGCCAAATTAGAATAAGGTCAATAGATAAATTAATAGTATTTTATCAATGTTAATTTCATGGTTTTGTGATGATTATGTAAGATGTTAACTTCAGGTGCAGCTGAAAGAAGGGAATGTGGGAGTTTCGTACCATTTTTGCAACCTTTCTCCAAGTTCAAAATTATTTCAAAATAACATTTTATTTATTTACTTGACAGAGAGAGAGAATATGAGCAAGCAGGAGGAGGAGCAGAGGGAAAGGAAGAGGCAGACTCCACGCTGAGTGCAGAGTCCTATTCGGGGCTTGATTCCACAACCCCAAGATCATGACTTGAGCCAAAATTAAGAGTTGGACGCCCAACCGACTGAGCCACCCAGGTGCCCCATCATAATAACATTTTTAAAAGAGGGATGTCATGAAATACAAAACCTGAGGTAATGTCAGATTAAGGAGACTAAAGAGACATGACACTTCAATGCAATGTATGACATTCAATTTTCTTTTCTGATAAAAGACATCTCAAGGATAACCAACCCAGGATTAGATGACAGAATTACATCAGGGTGAATTTTTTTTTAAGACCTTATTTATTTGAGTGAGAGAGAGAGAGAGCACGAGCAGGGGGCAGGGGCAGGGAGAGGGAGAAGGAGGCTCCCCGATGAGCAGGGAGCCTGATGCAGGGCTTGATCCCAGGATCCTGGGATCATGACCTGAGCTGAAGGCAGACGCTTAACCAACTGAGCCACCCAGGTGCCCCTACATCAATTTGAATTAACTGATTTTGATAACTTCACTGTAGTTATGTAAGAAATTCACACTGAAATACTTAGGTTAGGTAAAGGAGCATCAAGTCAGCAACTTACTTTCAAATGGTTAAAAAAAATAACATATATATAGAGATATATATGGATAAAGTGAAGGTAGTAAGAGGCTAGCATTTGAGGAAATGGAATAAAAGGATAGGGGAATTCTTTCCTACTTTCCTTTTACCATTTTTTAAAATTTGAAGATATGTCAAAAAGCAAAGTAATCATCATAATAAACCATGTAATAACCTCATTGGGAAGCTTATTCAATTTTGTGATTGCCATTTGTTAAAAGTACTTTAGTCAGCTATGAAAAGTACAGCATAGGGAATATAGTTAATAATAGTGTAATAACTTTGCATGATGAACAGATGGTAACTATACTTACTGTAGTGAACGTTACAGACATGCGGAATTGTTTAATCACTATGTTGTACACCTAAAACTAATATAACATTGTATGTCAACTATACTTTGATTTAAAAATTTTAATTACTTTTGCAGAGATAGAAAAGATGGTGGAGGAGTAGGGGACCCTATTCCAACCGGTCCCCGGAATTGAGCCGGATATCTACCAGACCACCCTGAACACCCACGAAATCAGCCTGAGATGTAGGAAGATAGATCCAGATCTCTACAAACAGAATATGGCAGGCGGTTGGTTTCAAGGTACGAAGCGGGGAGCCGTGATTCCACAGGCAGATATTGGAGGATAAATGGCAGTGGGAGGGAGCCTGGCTGTGGAGATCCCACACCGCCGGTGAGCGACAGCCTTGTGCACTGGGGATGGGGCACAGACTCGCAGACCGGTAGTGGTGGGAAAGGACTTTACGGCAGCCCCCAAGATGGAAACCGGAGGGGCGGGGCCACACGTGCGAACTGGGGGCAGCTGGTGGTTTTAGAAGCACAAAGGGCAGAGATGTGCTCCGACCTGGAGGTGAGGACTGGGAGTGCTGCAGAGGGGCACACAAACCAGGACGCTGCAGTTTATAGCAGTACAGACAAAAATGGAGATAGTGCAGCCTGGAGAGCTCACTGAACAACAGACTGCGATCTCTCTGCTCTGAGGCAGAGGGTTGGAAATGGTCTCTTTTGCTCTCTCAGAAGAGACACAGAAAGCTGCCAGGGAAAGCCGCCAGAGAACAAAAGCCCCCCAAAAACTAGTTCCCACTGAGCCCATTCCCCACCACAGGGGGCAGGGCAACTCTGCCCAAACAGGGTTGCCTGAGTAACAGCGCAGCAGGCCCCTCCCGCAGAAGACAGGCTGGGAGAACAAGAGACCAGCAACCCTAAGGTCCCAAGAAAACAGGTGCATCTTGTTTGGGTTCTGGTCAATAATTTGGACTCTATACATTCCCTCAACCACCCATCAACAGAATGACTAGGAGGAGGAACCCCCAAAATAGGAAAGACTCAGAGATTATAATTTATGCCGCAGATTTACAAATGGATGCAGATATAACCAAGATGTCAGAGATGGAATTCAGGCTAGCAAATGTGAAGACAATAGCTAGAATGGAGAAATCAATTAAGGGCAACATAGAGTCTCTAACGGCAGAAATGAAAGCTGAATTGGCAGAATTTAAAAATGCTATCAATGAGATCCAATCTCATCGAGATAATCTAACAGCTAGGGTAAATGAGGCAGAAGAACGAATTAGTGACCTGCAAGACCATTTAATAGATAAAAAGGGAAAAGAGGAGGCCAGGGAAAAACAATTCAGAATCCATGAAAATAGAATCAGAGAAATAAGTGACACCGTGAAGCATACCAAGGTCAGAATTATTGGAATCCCGGAGGGGGTGGAGAGAGAGAGAAGACTAGAAGATATATATGAGCAAATCGTAGCTAAGAACTTCCCTAATCTGGGGAATGAAACAAACATTTGTGTCCTAGAGGCAGAGAAGACCCCTTCCAAGATCAAAGAAAACAGGCCAACACCCTGGCATGTAATAGTAAAACTCGCAAATCTTAGAACCAAGGAACCCATCTTAAGGGCAGTTAGGGGGAAGAGATTCCTTATGTACAGAGGGAGGAACATCAGAATAACATCAGACCAATCCACAGAGACCTGGCAAGCCAGAAAGGCCTGGCAAGACATATTCAGGGTACTAAACGAGGAGAACATGCAGCCAAGAATACTTTATCCAGCAAGGCTGTCATTTAGAATGGATGGCGAGATGCAGAGCTTCCAAGACTGGCAGAAACTGAAAGAATATGTGACCACTAAGCCGGCCCTGCAAGAAATATTAAGGGGGGTTCTATAAAAGGAGAAAGACCCCAAGAATGATATACAACAGAAATTTATAGGGACAATCTATAAAAACAACGTCTTCACAGGTAACATGATGACAATAAATTCATATCTTTCAATAATCACTCTCAATGTGAAGGGCATAAATGCTCCCATAAAATGGCACAGGGCTGTAGATTGGATAAAAAGATAGGACCCATCCATATGCTGTCTACAAGAGACTCATTTGGAACCTAAAAATACATCCAGACTGAAAGTGAAGGGATGGAGATCCAACTTCCATGCCAGCGGACCTCAAAGGAAAGCTGAGGTAGCAATTCTTATATCAGACAAATTAGATTTTAAACTAAAGTCTGTAATAAGAGACACAGAAGGACACTAT